ACTCTATGTTCACATTTCTGGTGGGTTTTTCTGGTGGGTATCACAATTACACGGTCTCTGTAAAAACAGTAAAAACTTAAATGTGAAACTTTGTCTAGAATCTTGCAATCAATCTACACTTACATTAAGGTATAACTGGCATCAGATTTATTGAGGATGTTAATATGAAAAATGTACCAAACTGACCAATGAAAACCGTAAGACAACCAGAACAGATTCTCATGGGGAGTCAAGCAACAAGCTCCTGTCAACAGGAATCACTAAAAAGAAAATAAGTTCAAGTTTTTAAGAACACAGTTTAGTAAGATGATGGAACTTAGATCTAATTGCTGTTGGATTGAAGTTGGAAAGATGTTTGAATCAAGCTCAGAACTTACAGTCGACAGGCCAAACACAGTGAGGACACATGTTTAAACCGTGATTGGGGAAGAATTTGTTAAATGGTCCAAAACTGTATAGTTGCTGTCATCTGTAGATAAGATACTGACTGGTGTAACTTCCTCACACAAACACACTTTTAATGCACTCAACTTTCCAGTGAAATTGTGTCTTCTTTGCTTCTTTGGCAGTGTTTCGTGGCAGAGTTCTTGGGAAGCTCTACAGAGGTGAGGAGACTCGGTATGATGTCCAGATCATCCACACCTATCGGAACCGCTTCCGCCTGGAGCACAGAGAGTTTCTGTGGGTCCCGAACCTGTGTGACTGCCCTGACCTACAGGTGGGGAAGCAGTATGTCCTGATGGTGCGTCGACACATTAACCATGAGCACACGCTGAACCGCATCCTGCTGGAGGAGGAGAGCTACGTGGTGCCGTACAAACCCAGAGAGGACAAGCTGCTGCGACCGTTGGAGAGGCTCTGCAGCAACAGAGGGCCAAAACTTTCTACAGAAATAGTGTAGTTTGTGAGCATAAAGCTCAGAAATATGTTTTTTTAAATGTGGACTTTAAAATTTATGGCCCAATGAGCGGAATGTGGCATCACTGGAGGACCTTTTTAGGTTTCATCTTTGTTTGAAACATGCCACAGTATGAATACAAATAACACATTTTATGGTTATTTAAAAGCTTGGCCAGTTTACCATTTAAAGCACTTTAGGTGTGTACAATGCCCACCTTAAACAAATGCCAAAGAGAAGGACAGTAAATGAAAAGTCTTTTCTTCATAAATGTTATTCCACAGAAACTCTTAGTTTATTCCTCTGTAATGAATTTTACCAGACTTTCTTCCAAGGACTCATTGCAGATGTTTATGGGGTGATTTCTTTTTTCTGTTGCAACTTTTTTGTGGCACTGTTTTGTGGAACTTACAGCAGTGAATTAAATTCAGCTTTACATAGCAACAAAGTACACAGGACAATTCCTCATTTTGAAAGATGGCTGCAGTTCTGCATCTGTTCCAAGCCAAACAGCAGTAAGGTTTATGAACCACTCTATGCACAAACCACTGTGACATTCGTAAAGCTGGAGGTATTTTAGCATGTCAGAAATGCACCTCAGTCTTGGCCCCACGCTGTTAGCTGTTAGCGAGCAAACTGACATAAGAGAAACAAATGACCCCACTGGTGCTGTTGGGCTTCTAATGATATTTTTGTGGAATTGCTATAAAGATTAAAGCTGCAGTTACTTTAAGAAGAGAAAAATTGTGCAAAAATAAAAATTTTTTTGAGGATTACAGAAACAAAGTAATCAAAAAAATATGTATTAAAAAAAACTCCATTTGTGGTCATACATTTTTCTTTTCAAAGTACCTGAATGTTTATTCTTTATAGGTTAAAAATGATATATACAGGCACAGTTATATATTTTACTGATTGGTGCCAAAAGATGTAAAATGCCACCTGATGGGGCAAATACTCCTGGTTAATTATCAAGATTAAATACAGCCAATATATGCTCTTTGCGACATAAAAAGTATGAATAGATTCAGTTTAAACATTGTTTATACATTGTTGAAGTTTGTAATGGCTTTGATGTGAATAATGTTGGCACATACCACAAAGTTGATGCAATAATAAAGAAGCAGCTCAAACATTTTATATGTATAACTTAAACCCTATTAGGATTACAAAATATCCAAAACAAAGCAAAAACAGTTAAAAATATAGAAGCTGTTACTTGTATAATTTTTCAACAATTAAAAAAGAAGAGTTCAAATAAATAACTAGAAGCCCAAAAGTGATATAAGATTAATCAACAGACGACTTGATTTAATCTCCTCACTTCTCTCTCAAAATCGTGTGTTAAACAAGTAGGATATTGAATGGGGATAAAATCACAAGAGTACGGTACTCCTTTTTACAAACTCTGAACTTTCTCTTTTAGGACACTTTGTAAATTATTAAAGTTATATGGTTATATCTGAACAGTATCCCTGAGTGGTTTAGGTAAAAATGACTTAAATGTTAAGATAAACTTTAGTGCTTCATATTAAATTTCACATAGTCATTAACCAAAGATGTCAATTATTTACAACTGGACCTACTTCTTGCTGAACTGTACTTGGGTTCATCAGACTTTTTCTGCTCTGAAAACAAACCTTCCCTTTTGTAAGAACATCTCACACTGTTTATTAATTAATGTCATTTTGATTGTCCAGATGACTGACCTTTTGGTAAATTGATCAATTCTATTTGTTTTGGGGGTTTTTTAACCGGTGTAAGTGTAGTTATGTAAGTTTTTTTCAGATTTTTTTATGTTTTTTTTTATTGTGGCCTTGAGAGTTTGCAAAATTTCTGCAAGGCAAAGTTTCAGCTCCAGTGCTACAAATAATAAACCAAAAATGTTTCATAACTGTTTATTCAACAAAATTCTTACACAAATTGGTTTGACCTCAATGGTTGCTATCTGTTGCCGAGTGTGACTAGCTGTGATGCATTTCTGTTCAAATGAATAAATGTAATCGAAAGATCTTTATTTTTGAAGAGATTTATGAAAAAAAATATTTTTTGCTTTCATTTGATTTAATAATAGAATTTATTTGTACACAGCGAATTTTTGTATAAAATAAGCATCAATCTGAACACATTACTTGTATATCACTTGCATAATGGTCGGCATAATGTATTTTTGCTTATTTGTTGTATTATTTGTTATTTGTGATATTATTTTCCTCAGCATGTAATCAGCTGTGTTATGATGTTTTACATTATATGTATATTTAAATATTCAGTATTTTTTATTTCTGGCACTGATGAGATACAAATAAGCATAGTTTAAACAGAATTATTCTGTGGTATTTAATGTTGTGCCTTGTCTCTTTTACTCTCAAACCTCACAAAGCTGTGCAAAAGGTGTTTCTGCAGTCATTTGTTGCCAAAATAATAAAAGAAGTATTGAGTGCCAATGCGAATACCTTCTTTTTACAAATCTATGCTCCAACCATAAGTGTTAGAACTTGTTGTAACGATAAATAAGAACAAGAGATCCAGAAAATATTAAAGTTATTGCTGAAGAGAATTCCCTTATAGACAGAATTCCCTCAGGAGACAGTTTATACATTTTATATTACAAATGTTAAGTCTTTCAAAGCCTGGGTAACATTTTGATACACATATACATACATGATTTTTCACTTTCCTGGGATGTTGGTACCTCCATAGAACGGGAACCTTTTGTTTTGTTCAACCAGCAAGGACAGTAAGATGGTGATTGTACATAAAATGTTGTTTATATACATTTAATTAGTTACAAAATACATTTTTTATGTTTTTGAGGAAGACAGCACACTACCAACTTCATCTGTGTTGTCAGTTTATCAATAATTATTCTCCTTTTTAATGTGTCAGAGCTTCATGCTATCAGTGACAGGACTGCTGGGCAGACGCTCATGTGGATTTCTATCTTTACAATATTTTATGTTGAAGGCATGGCAGATTCAAGATGCTCTTCTGTTAAGGCTTTAAAAGAAACAAAGTTACGTATCCTGTCCTCTGTTGTGATTTGAGTGTTACAGTAGGATACATGCAGGTTTGAAACTGCAGGCACTAATGCTGCTTCATCATATCTTCAGTGATTTAAAACATTAAACTCCAGGCTAAACATGTTGTAGTAAAATAACAAAGTTTAAAAAAATCAGTTGTGATAAAAGTTGGTATCCTAATCCGAATACAATTTTAGTCTACCAGGGTCACATCTGTCTGTAATCCTTTTAAACTGCAAACAGAGTTTCTATTATAGTCATGTAACTTGAAAGGGGGATTGATTTTCTTCCAACTTTCATATTTTTTGCAAATTTCAGAACCCAAACATGATGCTGAAAGTCAAAGCACAATTTTCCATGTTGCTAAGTACTGTGAGTTGTACGAATGTTTGAAATAATCAGACAACAATCATAAGAAGACATTTTATTTACAAAATGCTTTCCATCTACAATAAATGACTAAATTCAAGTGCGGGGAAAAAGGTTTCAAACTGAGCCTGATTCCTGCTCATCAGCGGTAAAAAAACATCATTGCAGACACTTGGCTCAGTTTTCTTCGAGGAAAGGAGAAACCATTTGGTTCCGACTAGTGTATGAACATCTCTATGAAGAAGGTGGAGCTTTTTCCTCTTTACAAATAAGGGTAGCCTTAATGTATTTTATGTGCAACTATTTCAGGAGGCAAAAAAACAAAGTTTAATAATACATCTGTAATTTAGTTCTGTTTTGTTTCTAAAAAAACTACTTGTAGTTAAAATCGTCTTGTTCATAAAGATTTTTTTTCATTTACAGTTGTAAAAATATATGTAAACAAGAAACATCCCATCATTTTATAGAAATATTAATACAAACACAGATATTATTTTATTGTTTCTTTTAATCACAGCTGCTGTATAGATGTCTCAGTTTCTTTAGCTGCCTCTCAGTTAAATGCAGTGAATCTCAAGAGCATTTCAAAATAAATTGCATAGGAAAAAACAAAGCGGGGATTTTAAACATTTCAGGTTTGTTTAAAGACATGAGCAGGTTTCTTTGGCTTAAAGTCAAATATGTCAAACAGAACTGCCTGTGGTGACATGGGAATTTTGTTCTCTTCGTATTATTTCTTCTATGATGGGGCAACAAGACTTTTTTTCACCAATAACTTTGTGTTACTGTGCATTCATTTTGAAATTTTGACCCTTTAAGTAGAAATGTGAAAGTATCATATTCATTGCTGCTATCAGGCATAAAATCAGTAAAATAAAATGTGATTTAGTATAAATATAGTTTTGAAAAACTCAACCTCAGCTGTGGTTAATGGGCAGCTCAACCAGAATATCAACATCATAAAGCAACCAACTAAAATGCTAAGAAATGGATGAGAATAAAAATTAGATTGGAACATTTCATCTTGGCTCCCGATGATTCGAGATCTTGATCAAATTAACGTCTCTGGAAAGATTAGAGAACCCAATTCAGACAGCGTCCCGCGTTTGCCCTTTTAGCAGATTCTATTGTAGCCACCTATCATCATGACATTCCTCCTAGTTTCCTATTTCCACCCTTATTTCTACTATTTTCTCCACTTCTTCTTATTAATAGGCTTGCATTGTTTGATAAAGTGCCATCTTGTGACATAAGCTTGGATTGCAACAACCATGCAATGGTAAAATAAAAGCAAGCATTCCTGGATTTTTAACAAACTGGTTACTTGTGGATTATTTGTGAGTTATGTGGGCAGTAGGTCCCATGTGAAAAAATGTTCCTTGAGAAAGCATTGGGCGTTAAATAGTCGCGTGTTATGCAATGATGCACAGGAAAGGAAGAACAGTGTTGTTTTGTTCTAAGGTAATAAAATAATACAAATTTTCCAGCCTGGTTTTACAGTGATTACAATTTTTTTTCCAAAAATATTGTAGATTGTAAACATTGTAAACAATGTTGGATCAGACAATCTAGGTTTGTCTTTGTTGCAGCCTTCTATATTTGTTCATACTCAGAACCATAAATGTTTGTTGAAGATCAAAGGACACACAAGGCTGCAAGGAATCTTCCAAACAGTGGGATATGATCCCCTGCTCTGACATTACAGCAGAAATTTAGAGTACCTTCTCCTTTGTCACGCTGGTTGTCTAAATATTGGAGAATAATACATATTTTAAGAAACTACTACTTTTCAACTGTAAAAAAAATGAAATGCACCCATTATTTCTGCTCCTAACTTTGACCCCCCACCCCCAAAAAGAATAAAATAAAATAAAAAAATAAAATAAAAAAAGAACCCAGTCCACTTCTTCAGATCCCTTTGGCAATTCTTTCTGGGACAGTTTTAAAAACCACCATCAGGTCCTTGCTTATGGTGTAATTTAGTGCCAGTTCTTCTGGCATGGACAGAGCACAAAGTGCTTACGTCCATCTCACTTTGTTTTCTCAAAGCTTTGTAAGTCTGTGACCCCTAGCATTCTCCAGAGCACCTTGGGAAGCTCAAACTCATCCATCTTCTTGTCCTCATCTATTCGTGTTTGGCTCCCTTCAGGCGGGCCGCCCATTGATAACATCAAACGCTGACACTGACATGCCGGCAGGATGCGGAGCGACGTTTGATGCGAGAACGCCGTGGTCTGGATTCATTCTGGCATCTGCAGAGAGGGCCCAGCAGTAGCCAGAGGTAGAGGATCACGCAGGCCCAACATGAGGACATCTTCACCCAGAAGGTGGACCAGCATCCGTGGGTGAAGGTGGTCTCCAACACTGCTGACTCATAGCTGCATGAGAAGGAATTACTTAGAAATTATCATTATAATCCAAATAGGAAAAATACTAAAAGTTCCCTGTCTTACCTGAACCAGTTGGTGAGGGTCATCATGACGTACAGTGAGGCCAAGAAGAAGACAAAATGGAAAAAAAAGTAGCTGTATGCCACCTTCTGTGTCTCATTATGGATAACTTTCTGACAACCTTTGTTATCATTATCAACCATAAAGTCCTCTTCAGCTGGAAAATAAGGGTGAAAAAAGCAAAATTTTAACATCAAACTTATCAAAGCAAAAAGGTTTCATCATTTAACGTGCAGTAAGTTTGTTCTAAGGTTAATCTGATGGCTTTAACACATTTTTCTGTGGTTAACATTTCACGCTTTCATTTCTTTACATTTATAATCTGTGCTGGTCATTTCACTTCTTTCTTTACTTGCATCCTTTTGTACCCAACTTAATTAGGTGGGTAAAGGGGCTTTCTACCACATTGCAGTCTACACTAGTCTCAGACCAATTGCTACCCAAGCAGGGAGAATTTTTTTGTTGTTAAAAAACTCCCAGGTAAAAGTCATAAATGCAAAAGCCACCAACTGGAGCTAAAACTGAAAACTAAACTTTCCACAGTATTTACAATAGGAATGCTTTAAAGGATTAAAATGGGTCAGACGTTGATGGCTTGTAAATTGATGCCTTTGTCAGATGTGGAAAAGGTTGAAAGATTCAATGATTTGAAACTGAATAGAGTTAATTGTCAAAAGCTGTTTATTAAATTAACTTTTTCTTATTATTTCTAAAAATACCACAGGATGAACTAAAGGCTAAAGCAAATCACCATTGATATTACAAACCTGCTTCTTCTTCAGGGCAGCAGAACCAACAGGTTGCTTTCTGGAACTCGTAGCGATAAACTTTGATCATCCAAAATGGACCGAACACCTCAGCCAGATATGAAGCCTCATTACTGCAAGAACAGTTTGATGTGAGATCATCCTTCTCCAAGAAAACATTGTAATAAAAGCTGGTTGAACTGCTGATACATATCTGCTCTGAAATAAAAAGTCTCACCAAGCAAACAGGACACAGCAGTACATGATGGCAGCTCCAATAATGGCCACAGCGTTGCCCTCATTCTTCACTCCATCTTGCCCCACACTGGGGTAACAGACGGTCATGTTCATGCCCTGATACACCACTAACACACAAAACAACACAAAACAGCAGGCTTTAGAAAGATGGCTGGTTATAGCAACACCGTGATTCCCTCTGTATTGTTTTAAACACAAAAGAGAAGAAAAGCTGCTGTGCAAGATCATTTTAATTATTTTCCGTTTTATTTGAGTGAAATTCCTTTCTTTCTTGTAAAAGGGGCCTCTGCTGTAGTTTCCCTCTCATACACGCCCTCTGACACTCGTAAACATGCACTGTATGTGCTTCCACATGCACATGCTTGGTCACAAACCTAAATGACAAACACTCCAGTATTGAAATCCAGAAACACAGTTGAGTCTCTGGAGGGTCGTTTCGTACAGATTCCTCAGAGAAACAGTACAGCTGTAGGATGGAGCTGTTGACAGATATGTGTTTATAAAACATTTCGTTATATTATTCGGTCTGGGGTCCCAAATTTCATACAAGGATTTGAATGATTGTACTTGTATCATCCTCATCCACAAAACCTGAAACTTGAATTTTTTTCTTGAGAGAAAAACCATATAGAGATTACATAAACCCTGAATAAGTCACTTACAAAATGAATGAAACTCCTAAAGGTAATGCTTTATGGAAAGAATACGGATAAAAGTGAAGAAACCAAACATTAGCGCAGCAGAGACAAAAAAAAAATGCATTTAGAGGATCATTTGTGTGATGATGTGTGTGGTTGCGTGTTTATGGGGGCTTGTTTTGGTAGCTTTATGGGCAGCTTTCAGTGTGTGGTTAAGAAAATGTTTTTAAAGGGCCTGGAGCATGCATAGTTTTCTGGCATGTTGCTACACTGCCCTTACACTGCCAAGACTCACACACACCTACTGTACATACAGTCACTAATTACTAACATCGCCCGGTGTGTTGGTGTGTCCGGGGTAAAGTTTCCCCGCCTCTTACAGCACATTCTGATGAAATGTTCCTACAGGTATAATACTTTTATGAAACAGAGAATACTATGATAATACAGAAATAACAGCTTTAAGTTATTATTTATATGCAGTGATTCTTTCTCTGTTTATTAAAAAATGATTTATTTTCATTCATCCACACAATTATGCATTCTTTTATTCTCTTTCTGTGATTTATTTGTGTATTCAGAAGGTTTCTCATCTATTTGTTTATTCTGTCAATTTCCAGTTATTCATCCAGTTAGTAATTAATTAATTAATTTATTTTAATTCATTTATTTCTTCTTTTCATTTATATTTTCCTAAAAGTCTACCATGGGTCTAATGTCCTAATGCTGAAATCCAAACTTTAAATCAGAAATCATATTTTTTTTTTCTGTGACTGATCGCATTACTTTCATGTTGTTGTCTATGTCTGACTTCACTGTGAATGGTTTGTGGTTCCTCTGAGACTTTTAACCGGGCTTGAATAAATGTGTTCATTAACAAGCTATACACTGTCCCAGTTCCTGTCTTTTTTTTTTTTTTTTTTTTTATAAACCACTATTAAAAGATACAATAGAGCATTCCAAAATGTAAGAATGTAACAGATAGGCTACCAAAGCATTGACATGTAATATGTTAAACTTTATCTTTGTAACAGCTTTATCAAGCCGGCATTATTTCAGAGCACATCTCAATCTGAACATTTCTTAAAAATTCCTTAATTGTAGGATTTTTTTATGAAAAAAATATGAAAAAAGAAATTGGCAAACGAATCAAATTATTATTTTCAAAATGTGTTCATTTATTTTCCATTGGTAGACCAAATATTATAATTTTTATGTTAAAGGAGGTCAGTAGAGATTTGTGTAAGCTATCCAACATTGTAAAGCAATAAAACAAAACAAGCAGCTCGATGTTCCTGTTATTACAGTTTCACATACTATGCAGAAATTTAAGATCCATGCCCCTGTAGCCAATCTATCTATCTATCTATCTATCTATCTATCTATCTATCTATCTATCTATCTATCTATCTATCTATCTATCTAT